GCAGTGGCAGATACTATGATGTATATCAGTGTTCTTCCTAACGAGGTTTCACTGTAATTGCGGTGCATGGTGTGAATGATATATTGGCCGCTTCACGTTTCTGAGTAATACCAAGAGTGCATAACCCCCCAGAGTGTGCAACGCCGATCCAGCTCTGCATAGGGTTTTGGTCGAGCGTAATCGGATCTTCTGATGTCATGCGTACACTCCACACCACCGCAAGCCCGGGCTCGAGGCAGGGCACTGTTGTTTTTGATCCGAGTGTACCCGCGACTCCCCGGGTTCCCCTCAGATGTGTGCGGTACTATGACACAAAGATCCGATTACGCTCGACCAAGACCCTATAAGAGCTGGATCGGGCGTTGCACACTCTGGGGGGGGGGGGGGGTATGTACTCTTGGTCATACTTCAGTGTGCTTGATCTATTGTTCTTATTTCACTTTTAAGCCTGATGCACAATACCACTTTTGCGACGTACTGAGCGCTGAGCGAATTGCTTTTCATATTATTTCACGGAGAGTCTGTGATGCGCAATGCGCGATGCATTGCATCAAAATCCTGCATAGCACACACAGTAGGTACCGCACTCGAGCTGGAGAGCATTTGCGTTTTTTTTGTTGAATGTCCCATGTAAAAAAACTTATGTCTACGCATAACCTGACTTTTTGAAACAAACTTACCTCAACGTTGGGGCTAGGCTACAACCAGCGATGGAAAAATTGAAGAAAGAGGTTTGAAACGTTGCTTGTCGTGCATGGCATTGCATATCTGGTATTGCGCATTGCGCGTTTAGGGAACCGTGGCACCAAAAATCGTTGTACATTGTAGTACTGTTGAGATACCGAATTCAAATAAATCAATATTATTATCAAACATCCTTTGTTTTATGTGAGTAATGTGTGGTGTTATCTCCCAGAAATTTACATCCAAGTGCTCAATCTGCGGAGAGAACTGTTTCGTCCTTTGTGGACTCAAATGCCATCTGCTCTGTCCCTGCCATCAATGACGCATTTTTAGTGGTACATAACTTTGAAATACGGGCCAAACCTTTTCGGCCCATCCGCAAGGCAAAGCAATAAAACAGTTTTAAAATTCTGGAAAATAAAGAAAATATATAATTAGACGAGTAATTAGACATGTAAATGGATAGAGGTCTGCTACATTTCGTGCTATACGAGTTCTCAATTGGACGATTCCAAGTCGGTTGACAAGAAAATAGCATACGTGAGCAATAGCTTCTCATTGCGTCACTGTTGGAATATCGAAAAGCCACGAGGTGGCACAGATGCCAAGTCAATAGCAACAAGTATTAAAGTTGAAAAAAATTGGCCTAGCAGTGCTGTAAAGAGTACAGGTTGATTCAGTTACTAGTAGTAAATACACAACTATGAACATTGAAAAGCAGTGCATGGATGGTCCGGGCCACTGACTTAGTACATCATGGATTCTGAAGGTACACGATGATCCATGGCTATGGGAACGGGTACTTGGCGAGCAATCAAACAGCTTTCCGCACGCTTCTGTCTCAGCACGCGCACAAAGAGGAACAGCTCGGAAATTCCGGACAGGAGGAGAATTCCACCGCCGATGGCTGCTGGCAACGCGTAACTACCACTGGCTTCGTACAGCCAGCCTGCAGATTATCACATCACAAAACACACACACACACACATATACGCACACAGATTTAATATGGGAGAAAATTGCATATAAGAACATATGAGCACAGATATGGCAATGGCAGTCAACTAGAGGGCATGCGCTCATGCACCATTGAATAGATGGCTGTAGCAGTGTGTACATATAAAGATACCATATGAGCACAGCAGTAACCTCCCGACATGCTTGGCGGGTATTGTGGCCTCTCACATAATAATTGTGATCTAGGACTCTGCGCGCTGCTGGGTTCTGGCTTCGCTAGGCGTCACAGCTACGACACTGGGCGACATTAAACGCCTTTGGAAATGTTGCAATCGCTCGCATAGATCACTCAGCCGTGTGTTACATGCGAACAAAAGCACACCCACGCATGCACAAATGACGTCGTTGGTCAGGCATACTCTGTCACCATGCGCCGGCGTGTACCTTCTCCAAAGATCGGGAATGCACTTAACTGTGGCCATCTCGTTATCAATATGCGGAGACACTAACTTACTGCAGGAAATATTTCATAATCTAAACTTCATCGCCAACACCACGCTCTATATGTCACTGCACCTATTTGCAGCATTTTGAATACTACTCCCGGCGCATTACAGCACGTTAGTATCCCTAGCGACATTGTGGCTATGAGAGCACTACATAGGGCAATGCTCTAAGGGCATACTTCGCATTCAGGACCGCCGGAAGCAGTTTTATGTTGGTCCGGTCGTACCACAGTCTTTCATACTTTGTGTATAATATGGCGGGGGACATAATTACGCCCTCGTCAGCGTTGGTAGCTACAAAGTTGGTCCGGTGTTAACCTGATCCGTGAACCGGACCGTTTTCGGCGGGCCTGGCATTAGTCGACTCAAGCTGAACTGATGATTGGTCAATGGACTTGAATCACCGTAACGAGGCGCATGCAGCAAACATGTTCTGCTTTCTTGCAGGTTCGCCAAGTAGAAGGCTCGATGCGCTACTCGTGTGCTCTAGTCAGCAGTTGTTTGTGAGTTAAAAGCCATGCTTTTATCCTCGTTCTTTACGTGATATATCGACCTCATTAATTGTTCAATAATATGAAGAGGGTAAGCAGCAGCATTCGGCCGCTGAAAGTTTTGTGTCAACGCAGAAATAATATGAAGAGCTGAGATGCAAACCCGATTTGCGCCAAATTTGAGAAAATCAGATTTCCAGCTCAGTGTAATCAAAAGATCCAGGGGCACTAGCAGACACAATTTCTAATTCAAAATCTGACTAGACCCATTTCAAAACTGGAACCCAAGTATGGATTTAGATACAAACCTCAGATAAAATGAATCATTTCTTGGCCACTATACGAAAAACGATGAAATGGATTTAGCGAAATTAGCTCTTCATGGTATATAAATCCACGGCAACTAACCTGCTGCAGGTGGGCCACATATCACGGAAACAGATGAAAGAAGAATGATTTGGCCAGCAGCATGCGGCACCTCATCTCTTTTCACGACCTCCAGGACAAGAGGGCCGTACAGAGTACCAACTCCACTGATCAGGAAGCTGTAGAGAGTGATGAAGTAGCGGAAACTAGTCACTGACGTCACCAGCGCACTCAGGCCACAACACAGGCCAGCCAGCATCATAACTATGCCCTGCAACAGAATAGCTGACACCGACAAGTACTCCACTATCAAGCCGACTGCCAGACCGCCTCCGAACGTACCAGCTCCTACGAGCATAACCTGGAAGAAGCTGTCATCACGGCTGCTACCAATGGCCTGTGAACGATGTTTCTAAGAGAACAAGAGCACATCAGAAAACACATAAAGGAACATAAAATACCAGGCATTCGGAAAAGGGCTAAGGCGTTCTCGAATTCCTACCTCTACACCCCCCCCCCCCTCCCCCTGCTCGTCCCTCTTTGGCCAATAACTGGTCTTCAAAATCCCGGTCAGATATTGCTCAGAGACAGAATGAAAGAATAGTTGTAGCAATGTGATGCGACTGGCTTCTTTTAGTAATCATCTAGAGCTAGACAGATTTCAATGTACTACTCACCGCTGTGACAATAGGGAAGAAATACACCAGGGAGAGTGTGAAGGTTAGGATGACCAGAACTGTGAAGTTCAGATTGCGATACAGTGCCAGGCCGCGAAAAAATGATAACTTGGTCTTCTCGCCAAACTGCTGGAGTCTGGTGCGTATACTGTTGGCTTCTTCAGATGATGTAGATCCTATCGTGTTCACGTCCTTTGTCACGTCACCATCAGAACTACTTGATCCGGTTGCAGAGATTAACTGACTTGTTCTGGCCTGTTTGTATCCATCAGATGGTAGCTTTCCAGGTAATACAATGACTGTGAGCAGTGTAGCAATGCTGGTGAAACCCAGTACACGATAGTACCACTGCCAGCCACCATACTGGATAGCTGACCGCCCTGCCAACGCAAGAAGTATGGCACCAACCCCACTCGAGGAACTTGCTAATGTCAGCAGCAGTGACTTGCGACTGGAGAAGGCACTGTCGATGACTGGAGTTGGAAGTGTAAAAACCAATCCTCCTCCGATTCCCGAGATCAAGCCGCGGGTGATGTACAATATATACAGGTCATTGGCGAATGAGCTGCCAAAGCTTCCAACGGAGAATACCAACAATCCCAGGATAGCTGATTTCCGCGCGCCGAGTACTTCGAATGTAATGCCACTTATCCAGGATGTTCCAATGCGTAATGCGGAATAGATGGAGGCCACCCATGCTACAGATCAAGATACAAACACACAAAACACATGTAAACACACACACACACACACACACACACACACACACGCACATACATGCATTAGGGTATCCGCCCCGGTGCAATGCTCGCTGAGTTTCTCGCAGTCAGAGCACTCTGACTTTATATTGACAACTTCAGGCAGTTAACAAATTAATGTTTTTTTACTCACTAGTGATCAATGCGGTCTGTTTGGCGAGTGACACCGCTGCGGAGACCTGGTAACGGTGAAACAGCTACTTCCTCCGCCCAGGCAAAATTTTCGCTTATCTTCTTCAGCCCAATGACAGGTGTCTGACAGCAATTTTTGCATCTTGTGCACTTCACCATCATACAAATCTGCTCGTTCAGGCGTACCAGTTCCAAACAAGTCGGCGAAGTCGGCAAAGAGTAAAGAAACATCTAGAGTAGAGCGCGTTGAATGCGAGTGAACTGGTAAAAAAGACACGAAGTCAGTCACTAGTCAAGGTGGGTGCTGCTAGAGTACCACTGCTGGCACTGGAGTACAGAGCAGAGGTGTCATGTTGCGAAAAGCTAGTGTGTTTGATTGCATCCTGCTCAAGGTGTGTGTACGGTAAAAATGCACGCGAGCTTGAAGCTGAGAAAGCCACTCGACTCAGCGACGCTCGCCCACATACGACGCTCGTACTGCAAAATGAACCAGAATCGGCACTGGGCAAAACAGTTGGAAAAGAAAGGCTTCGATGACAGGGTTGTCACTCGCCCAGCTCATTCGCCTGATGTCAACGTGAACGGTCCAGCAAAGCGACGCTGGCTGAGCTCGCCAGCTTCGGCTGGAAAGAAACACAACCGATCGTACTCGTGAAGGAGGTGAAGAGCTTGGGAAAAAAGTGTCGATAGAAAATATTTGCGCTTCTGGAAAGTGCGAAGTACTACCCGACAACAAGTGCTGCGTCGGCTGATGACAAAGGATGCCTTCTACATTTTTCGACTTGGAGAGTTTCTCTTGATGTTCAACGACTCCTCAACTCATTCTGAGTCGTTATAAGCCGTTCTGAGAACCTGGAATGTATCAGTAAAAACTGTAAAGATAAGCGAAAATTTTGCTTGGGCGGAGGAAGTATCTTCATGTACTAGGACGACACGATCATCAGACCTTGTCACTATTCGCCTGCATACTTTCAACCTCGCGAATAACACCAATTTACCCATGCACGATCGAGGGTCGTTATTGAATATCCACAAGGCTGTCTGTATTTCTATTAAAAAAAACTTCCATGCACGTATGGAAACCGTGCAGTCGCCTGAAACACTGCAGAGCACGACGCCGTGCAGTTCAATACAATCTACTACTTCTGTTAAAGTCATTGCAAGTACAGAGAGTGTAACAGTTAATGCTCTGGTCGACAGCATGTCCGGAGGACAGAGGTATACAATACAGGCGCATCACTGCGTTTTTCCTGTTGGTCAGGCTATTCTGAAGAGCACTGCGGTCTGCTCTGCGTTCAGTTAATGTCACAGTGGACTGAAGGCTCCACCTGACCACTATCCATGGGGTTGTTGGTCTGGTTAGATGTGCGGAGCAACATGCCGAGAGTTTGGAAGGAAGTCGTGTTTGTCCTAAAAATGCTCACAGTGTATGATACAAATTATACATGCTGTAACTTCTATGACAGGGCTGGATATCTCCTAGTTCACATTCGACCGGTCACGGCGGGAGCGATGGGACGCGGCGTAAGGAGCAATGGGAACCAACAGGACACTCGTGGCACCAATTGACGCCGCCCGACGTGACCAAAAGGAACGGGAACACCACCGTACTACGTACAAATCAGCAAGCGGCATAAGAGTCGTATCTGTTCAACTTCTCCTACTGTATGCGGGGACGCGAGCGTATACAACTGCTGCATTACGACTGTGAGCTGTAGACCATGCACGGAACTGCAACTTTGAACATTCTGCTAGGACTGTGGCTTATGACTTGCGCCGATCTGCGTTGACCATAGCAACGCTACTTCATGTCGTGTCGTACAAATCGTACAAGGCTTTACAGCTCGCAACTGCCTTCGCAACAGGCTCTTACATTACATACCACCTGTGCTCCGTCGAATGTGAAATAGGCTTATATATCTTTGTCATGACCATGACATAGTGATGTTCTGCTTGAAAATACAACAACATGTACTGGGTTCATCTGTCTGGAACCCGTACTACACGAACCTGTTTTAGAAGCACCAGATCCAAAGCCTCCACAGCCTTCGTCAGAGACTGTTGCAGATGAATTGGTAAGTGTGGTGTTAGTTATCTCCGGTACTGTGAAAGTGCTGGCAGTTACTGCACCTGGTACTACATCTCTACTGTAATTTTGTTGCTGTTGGCCTCCTGTTGGACACGGGTCAAGCAATAGTTCAGCATAGGAAATGCTGCTCGTCAGATCGCTGCTGAAGCTCACACAGAACAAGCAGCATAGCGACAAGAACAGGAGAACTTTCCGACAAGACTCCTTCCATCCAAGTGGTTCCAGAATTTCAGAATCCATTCTTTTTGCTTTAGCGCTTGCTCTTAGCAGAGAAATAATGTTTATGTCACACGTCTTGCAGCACATGCACAGTCGGTGCTAGCTTATTTTGAAGTGGTAAACCATTAGCATGACTGTTGCAACTTCCCCCAGGATTCATTTCAATGAACGAATTCAGACAAATGTTCAGCGCACAGCTATTTCACCAGTTACTAACTACCTTCCAAACCAAGCAAAACTAATGTTACTTGAAACGCACTACAATCATTATAAAAAATATAATGACACTGTAAATCATGAATGACTACAATGTGTATGTATACTGCACACCGATATCTGCAAGAACGGCGAAGCCGTAAGTACAGATACTGCACTGAGTCTGTCGTGGACATGGAAATCCGGTCGCACATCTAGCGGCCCCAGGGCGATGGCCATGTAGCCTGCAGCACGCTGGTCGCATCGTGCACTAGTTCAGTACTACTGAGTACTACTAGTTGTTGGAAGGCCGTGGCGTTGGTTAGCGCTATCGTCGAGCAGTGCTCAAGCTGACCATATCTCACTCACGCAACGGTCTTCGTGTTCAAGAAGACCACACGAACTTAAGGGGGACAACACCATTCGCGGCCCAAATCAGACCGCATACAATTGAAATAGGCATATCATGAAAACGGATTGGCAGATTGCCTTCAAATTTTCTATGTTCAATCACTATATACTGCTCCACAATGTAGGCACCAAAAAGAGAATTTACAGTTCATGCCAGTAATGCTTGATGGGCTACACTAATTCTTCACGGGTGCGCACAAACAGCAATTTTTTTGGACAACTTTGCAGCAAGATGTATCAACATAGACAGTTCCAAAATGCAGCAAAACCCAGTCCATATGCCTATGCAGGGAATGAACTACAATGAACTCTATCTGACAGGTATTACTACCCCAAATGCAGAGACAAAACAGGACGAGCCGCAAAACGCGTAAAATAGAAGGCACTGTGGGAGCTCAAAATCCAATGTAAAAGGTCCTATGATCACCATTGTAGTTCAATCCCTGCGCAACAAGTCACTGATTCCAAAAATGTATGGGTTGATAGGTCTAAAATAAACACACTAGCCGCAATCATGTCCAAGAAGGCAGAAAAAGGCCAAAAAGCACAAACATTTAGGTGTCCTTTTCATAGATTCTAAGACTATTGTTCCAACTAAAACCCACCAGCCTCATATGTGACACCCTCAGCTTCCACAATCTGCTCCTCAATTCCCTTCCTGCACCTCCTCCTTTTTTTCCTTCGCTGTTTTTCCTCCTGCTTCATCTTCTTCTCAGCCTTGGCCACTCTAATACTATCCAACATGAGCTGGCGTTCCGCAAAAACGCCAGGTGCGGTTGCAGAGAGGGATATGGCCCGACTTCCACTTCTCATACTCGTCAGCTGTGACTTCACTATGCGCCTGGCGAGCTTTCCACAAGCTGAAGCCATGGCAGTACTTGGAAGCTAGATGCACATCAAGGACCTTCCCGACTTGCCAGTCAATTGCCGTAAACGCACCGTGTAGGGAGGAAAACCCGCGCTTCATTCACGTACCATCATAGGTGACAGCAGTTATATGCTTAGGCCTGTCCATTGTCTTGTTCATCTGCTGCTTCGTTCATGCTGATTTGCGCAACTGACCTTGCCGCCTTGCACAATGCTCGCTGGTGCCGCTGGAATGCAGATAGCTGAACAGGTGGGGCAAATTCATGAGGCCGCAAAAAATTTGCCAGCCAACATGGCCAATTCCCAGCGTGCGCAATGCCAGAACACTGCGGCGATTGCACTCATAAAACTGTCCTGACTTCTCCACCACTGGCAGGCTGGTGCCTGCTGAACACTGGCTCTTCATTGCAGCATGTGATTCTGACAGTGGATGCAAGGCCAGAACGTGCAGTTTCAGCAATGGTCAGCTCACCTCCACAGTATTTTACACGAGCAAGCAGAGAAAATCAAATTTCGTAAACAATTCAAGTCCAGTGGCGTCTGAATCACAACTTTCAGCGATTGGGCCATGACAGTCTTCAGAGAACGAGGAATCACTTGAGGGAGCAACTGTCTGAGTTCGAGGCCAGCGCACATCCATCAAAGCTCTCCTCCGAATCCGACTCACTATCGCTCAGTTGAATCCATTAATTTTTTATTATGATCACTGTATTCTTATTTTTGGAACGCCATCGTACAACTTGCGCTTCGAGGCGGACTCTGGCACTGCTTCAGCTTCATAAACTCCCTCAGCAGCTTCCTGGACAGGTGCTGCGTGCAGTGAGAATCTTCTCTTTGCAGGACGCTTGCACGACCTGCTCTTCTTGTTCCCCATTGTGCATCGCGCTCGAAACTGCAACACTCAACAGCAAAGAAGTCTTTGGGAAAGAAATTTTGCACTTTTTTTGCACGTGGCACGGGTCACTGCTGCCATGGCAACAAAATTTGGAAGTAAAAGCGCTTCAAAACTTCCAAACTCCACGGCCACAATCTTGACAGCTCGTTTAGTGCACGAGCATCGCGATGTGTACAATTTTTTTCAACTTTTTAGTGTACGAACATCGATGTGTACAAATTTTTCAAATATTTTCAAATTTCAAACGGTCATATGACTGCAACGGTTGGTCCGAATCGCTTTAAATTTGGAATACTGACACCTCAGGGCATATGCTTTGATTTCCAATAGCAAAAAGGTGACAAATCGAAAGTTGGTTTTTTGACCCCTGGAAGGTGGTGTCCCACCTTAAAGGGGAAGTTAAGGCAAAAATTAAAATTTCACCAGTTGTAGTCTTCGGGGTGCTGAGTCGAATGGTCTTGGTCCGAGAAAGCTGAGACGCTCCCTTCCTACTTGAATCCCAATCGAACTCGCGCACTTCCACCGAAACTGGGTGACTGCGCCCTACTAGATGGGGATTTGTATGCAAAATGTCACTAAAAGCGCCGTTTCGTTCTTATAAAAGCACGGATGACCGCGATTGGCCCATATGTTGTAGTCGTTTGGACGCTGAGTCGACTGGTTTTGGTCCGAAAAGGCTGCGATGCAGCGTTCCTCCTTTATTCCCAATCGAACATGGTTGAACAAGCGGTCACGTGCTCCTGCGTACACCAGTCAGCTGGTCACCGTGCCTGCAGGGTACAACTTACTAGCCTGTTTGACCTTTTTTGGGTGCAGTCCTGTCACTCGAGTTGAACTCGAGTTGAACCTTGGTGTGAATTAGTTGTCGCCTGCTGGCGTGGTGACCAGGTGATTTGGGCACCCAGGAGCACGTGACCACTTGTTCAAGCATGTTCGATTGGGAATAAAAGAGGAACGCTGCATCGCAGCCTTTTCGGACCAAAACCAGTCGACTCAGCGTCCAAAAGACTACAACATATGGGTCAATCGCGGTCATCCGTGCTTTTATAAGAACGAAATGGCGCTTTTAGTGACATTTTGCATACAAATCCCCATCTAGTAGGGCGCAGTCACCCAGTTTCGGTGGAAGTGCGCGAGTTCGATTGGGATTCAAGTAGGAAGGGAGCGTCTCAGCTTTCTCGGACCAAGACCATTCGACTCAGCACCCCGAAGACTACAACTGGTGAAATTTTAATTTTTGCCTTAACTTCCCCTTTAAAACTTGTGACCACAATTATTTCCATGTTACAAATCGTTTCCTTGGCTCACCTTCTGAGTTCTCAATCTAGTTTTGGTTTGCTTATTTTTTTCCTTTCTTGCCCTTCTTGTTTTCTTCTTTCCCCCTCTCTTACCAATTTTCACATCTCACGTATCTCATCAATCAAGCGAAAACAGGAAACCCCCTGGAAAGGCGAACAGCCTTTGGGGAATCCTTAAAACGAGAGAGCTTGGAAGCTCAGGGCCCTGCGCTATGCTTTGTTGCCTAGCTCATCGTGCATGTTGGTAGAACTGATGGAAATGCTTTTTCCTTTGATTAGCTACATCATTGTATTGCAAAAACGTTTCAATGAGATACTGAAGTAACGTCTTCTGCCAAGCTATGGAACCGGCGCTGACTCTGCCGATCACGGGCGTTCTGGAGTCGACGGAATGTCTGTCCTGACGTTTCCTGGGACCGGCGCTGACTCTGCCGATCACGGGCGTTCTTCTTCTTATTATTATTATACTGACGGCAACTAACATCCATTCTGATTGCATTTACTCGTCTCCCTACTTCGTATTAGGCCTTGGCGGATAATGCTCGAAAAGGTGGCAGATTCTGCTCGAAAAGCAGTGAAATTGGTAGAACCATACAAACCTTATGGCGTGCAATTCCTCGAATTCTGCTCCATTTCTTTATCCACATACCAAACATGCATGAAACCTACCAGAAAAAGTACCGAATTCTGCCAATTTTTCTGCCGGCATTATCCGCCAAGGCCTACTTCGTATTTCTTTCCAGAAAATCTCCCCATACAGCAGGGAGTCGTTTACATAATATGACTCCCTGCTATACATCTACATGACTGTATATACGTTATAATTATGATGCTATCGGCCTACATGCGATTCCCGGGCTGGTCGACAGGCGGCCCAGCCAGCCTGCTAGTGGGATCTCGGCCTCGCACACAAATCCACACAAAATGTTACTGCACTGAATGCATTCCCCCATACACTTCGCATATATATTCATTCTCTTGATGGTACCGTACTCTTGATGGTACGGGACAGGTACGGGATAGCGCCAGGCATGTCGATGGCACAAACAAACAAAAGTATTGTGGCCAGCTGTCTTTGCTGGTACGGTACAGTACGGGACAGATACGGGATAGCGCCAGGCGTGACACAAACAAACAAACAAACAAACAAACAAACACCAAATTAAAGCTGTGTGGACCCTGGCTAGCGCCAGACGTTACTGAAGTAACGTCTTCTGCATAGCTACGGGAATAAATAATAATAAATAAAAGATCGGCTTGGATATGACGAGAAAGTGTTGGAAACCACAACATGTTAACAGGGAAAGCAAAGTTTGCAAACCTTTCAGGGTTTATGCAGGAGGGGATCGACATTAATATTTTTTTGAAGTGCAATCTCCTAGAGAATCGTGAACAACAGCAACTCCAAATTCGCCGTTCACCTACATGTAGGTGTTCATTGCGACGGTCGCAAAACCTTGCCGTGGCAATATTCACGAGGCTGACTTACACTTTTTGTAGGTCATCAACTACATCATGTTTGTACCGGACCAACCCCCCCCCCCCCCCCCCCAGGGATAAGAGGATTATGCCGGCATAATTTTTTGGCATAATTAGGTCCTTTTATATAGGGAGCATAAAATGGCATCCGAAAAACAACGGCAGATGCCCAATGAGGCTGTTACACAAAACTGCCATTGACGGCATAATTGAAGGCATACTTTTTGGCACAATCAGGTCCTTTCTGAGAAGGAGCATAAAATGGCATCCGAGAAACAAAGGCAGATGCCCAACGAGGACACCTGCTATTGAAGGACCATACATAGCGCTTCTTGTCGATTTGGAATCGTATTTTAGCAGCCACTATAAGACATCTTCCAAAAGTTCAGCGTTTGCTTGTGAATTTGATATTCCTGTTGCATACCGGTAGTATTGTAGAATTTTCAGCCTCGTGTTGTGGATGCTTCAGTTATGTCAGTAGCCGGAGTCACGGCGGAGTGCCTGAGGGTGTGAAGGCTTCGGTGTCATCATCAGTGGATATGACTCACCCTGGTTGCCAACATACAGGATAGATGTATTGGTTCTGGGTGGCTCTGATTACACTAGCGGCATAAACGCATTGTTAATGCCGATAATCAGCGCAATAAATAAAGGAAGTTACACATTCAATACACAGGCCAATCGCATATTTCATTTCCGTCTCCACGAAAACTGGTTAATGCTGATAATGTGGAAAAGTAGTTCGGCTACAGCAATGATAATGCGAAATCATCAAATAAATATCCTTGTATAAAATACTCCAGCATGCATGGCCACTGCAATGTCACAAAGATGTGCAGTGCATGCAGTGAATTTGTCCAGGGCTTGTTAAGGCGTCTGCCACAACAACACTTTTCAAGACTACGGGAGCAGGTACTTGGGGAGCATTCGGCTGTTTCTTCTCCCAGCTCTTCTGCTTCCACACGCGTGCAAAGAGGAACAGCTCGAAAACGCCGGCCAGAAGGAGGATTCCGCCACCAATGGCTGCGGGAAGTGTGTAACTTCCACTGACTTCGTAAAGCCAACCTACAGGTAATTATATTACACAAAACACACATACAGAACAGAACAACAAAGACAATCAAGGCTTGTTTGCTGCTACTACAGGTTTCATGCTCTCGCAATCATCAGGCAACATGCAAAACACAAATACATAGATATATCACACAACCACTGTCTGATGTCTGATCAATATTGATCCGTGACACTCAGTCTTGAATCAGCGTAACAGCAGGGCAGTTCTATTCGCCGTTCTTTATATGTGCAGAAGGCTATATATCATGCTTAGGCGTATCAAACACTCTCCAGCTACCACAACCATCTCCAAGTACCCACACACAGCACGATCACACGCATACACACAGCCATGTGCGAGTGCACAAACGCACACGCAAGCGCACACACACACGCAAGCGCGTGTACACACACACGCAAGCGCGTGTACACACACACACACATGTGCGCGTGCACATACATACACACTTTATGATGACATCGTATCTCAACTTGAGGTCAGAATTATAAGGTATTGGTAATCAAACAAATATCACCATGCCGATGTACCTCTCCAGGGATAGAATTCAACTGTCAAGAGTAACATGCGACATTGTCAAACAAAGTCCAGAAGAATTTATTCTGAATGCCTCAGGTCATCGGGTTTACTGGCATGCTGATTATGTTCTATGTTTCCCACTCACCTGCTGCAGGTGGGCCACATATTACTGAAATAGTGGCCAGAAGCACCAACTGACCGACGGCATGTGGCACTTCATCTGTTTTGACGACTTCCAGCAGAATGGGTCCGCCGAGAGCGCCGACGCCGCTGACCAGGAAGCTGTAGAACGTGTTGAAGTAGCGGAAACCGTTCACCGTCTTCACCAAGGCGCTGAAGCCGCAGCACAGGCCGCACAAGATCAAGATCACGCTTTGCGTCAGAATCGGTGACACGGTCAAGTACTCCACTATCAGACCGACTGACAGGCCGCCGCCGAAAAAGCCTGCGCCGACCAGCATAACTTGCAGGAAGCTATCGTCACTTCCATTGCCAATGCCCTGTGAGCGATGCTTCTACGAGTGCAAGACAGAAAATACAAAAAAATTCACCCAACATTTAAAAAATGGCAGACTAGTATGGCCAACAAACTTTCAAAGTAAGTGTCGAATAACAGTTTGCCTAAAACTCGAATCGTACAACATCAATTTGACAACAACAAAAACATAACCACCTGCTATGGGGCTTTTAAGTTAAACTATTATTACTTTATTATTGTACTGATCAACAAAAGATTGACATAATACGAGGAAAATGTTTTTTTGGATTAAGTACGGACTCAGATAAGATGTACATCGGGCCATTACGTACAAATTTCATGGCATCAATGTTTCCTCCATAAAAGCGCAAGCAAAGGGTTTACTGCTACGGTGGAGCAGATAGAGCGTGCGTACTTCCTTCATAGGATGAGATGTTTTGGTGGGCAGAGGAAATAACACCCACTGATGGGAATCCATACTTTTCTAGTTTTTTTCTTCAGTAAATCTACATTAGTGTTGAAACGATCTCACCGGATACTCGTTAGCTCGCTCGCCAGAAACTCCGCTCGTTTGTGCGGCCAGCTCGTTTGCACTAACGAACACCGTACTCCGTACACATGGCAGTACATGTCGACGGGGAGTCGTAAAAATATTTTACGACTCCCTGGTCGATCGAGAGTCCAGTCCCGCGCAAAGTGAAAATCACTCGCAGTTACAGGTGACTGTATGCCTGCACGACACTTGAGTTGTTTCAGTTGTCGTTGCAGCTTTGGTGGACTCTACTGATGTCTTGTTCCGCATCTGCTGACCTGTCGCAGGATATGCTTCAGTCACCTCTCCATTCGAGTGAAAGTTACGCTCAGTCGTTTGGAAGTTTTCTCCCGCGATGCAGCGAAGACCAGGGCTACTTGCAATCTTTGCAAAACGGTCTATTATTACAAAGGCTAATCCACGACGGCGCTGAAAAGACATCTCGACACCAAACAGCAGTCCGAAGTGAAGCAGCAGCAAATCCAAAAGCCGGCGGTGATAATTTGAACCAGCTGAAAAAAATCGAACTTAGAAAAAAAATTATTCAAAAACATAATCATATTTGTCACATCAATGAAACTCGTTAGATCGCTCGATAGCTTGCTCGTTAGTGGAACTGATCGCTCGTTTGTTATAGATACGCTCGTTTCAACACTAATCTACATGTCAGTCGGCCGTCAAGAAGCCAGCACGCTGTTTGGTCAACATGCAGCTGGCAGATCCAGAGGCATGAGTGGAATTCTGGCTAACTCCACCACCATCCTGCAGGTATGTAGTGTCACGTACATGATAATAATGGGCCCCACCACCACATTCCTTTACTCACTTCAGTGTCTGGAGATATGTGGATTTTGTAGAAAGAATGAAGAAACAAATACCACTCCATATCATTGGAAGCACTAAGCACTAAAATCCAGTCCAGAACGTATGGCTGAGAGTCAATCAGAATAATGGATGTTTAAAGCGGGTATGAGCTGGGTATGAGGCCCGTGGACCCAACACTGCAAAAAAAGTACTGTGAGTTCTCACCATACACCAATTCATCATTACAACCCGACACAATCAAGTCCGTATCTACTGGTCTCTACCCACCCCCACCCCGCAACCCCTCATCTTCTGTTTCTCTCTCCTTTTCTCTCCCTCCCTGTCTCTCTGTCTGTGTCTCTCTCTGTCTCTGTCTCTGTCTCTGTCTCTGTCTCTCTCTCTCTCTCTCTCTCTCTCTCTCTCTCTCTCTCTCTCTCTCTCTCTCTCTCTCTCTCTCTCTCTCTCTCTCTCTCTCTCTCTTTCTGTGTTTGTGTGTGTGTGTGTGTGTGTGTGTGTGTCTCTCTCTCTCTCTCTCTCTCTCTCTCTCTCTCTCTCTCTCTCTCTCTCTCTCTCTCTCTCTCTCTCTCTCTCTCTCTGTGTGTGTGTGTGTGTGTGTGTGTGTGTGTGTGTGTGTGTGTGTGTGTGTGTGTGTGTGTGTGTGTGTGTGTGTGTGTGTGTGTGTGCAGGGGCGTCACCCGTGATGGGCACGGGGGGCACGTGCACCCCCCTAAAAAATTCGACCTTGGTTTTTTTGCGAACTCCTGGTTATGAAAAGTGTAGTGCTGGTAGAATCTACTAGTAATAAACTGCATGCACTAAAACTACACTCGGACGTCTCTTATCCGGGCACCTTGGGACCGGGCACTGCCCGTATCTCAGAATAACTCACCTACCATGTATGATATCATTTTTTGAAGAAGTTTATTTGGCACGTATTGCACATGTTGAGGATACAAAAGGAACCCATTGATAAAAATGTGGGGATTACATAGGTTGGCAGTGAAACATAAGCACTTCCACATACGGCAAAAGTTCAAAAAACCCAAATTCGACGCATTTGTGCTATAGGAACTCAAGCTGAAGGTGCCCGGTAGAGAGACGTGCCCGTATCTGAGGCGTCCGGATAAGAGGCGTTTGAGTGTAGTTGTACTGCGCTGCCGCGATCGCGTGACGCGGCGTGAGTGCATGTAGCGAATGCATGTACATGACCAGTACATGACCAGTAGGCAGTACGACTCGTAGACTAGTTACACTGAAATGGCACCAAATGCCTGAAAATGCTTGCAATTGCCTTCAATTTTTGAAATTTTTTCCCGGGGGAGGATAATGAAGAATTCTTGTCCCCGATCGTAGCGTCTTCTTGGCTTGTTGCAGAATCAAAAAGTCTTTCATTGTAGTTACACTGAAATGGCACCAAATGCCCGGAAATGCTTGCAATTGGCTTTAATTTTTGAATTTTTTCCCCGGGGAAGGCCCCGTACCCCATGGCCACCCCACCTCCAAAGTCAGTGCGACGGGCCTGCTATCAGCGAACTTTTTCGTGTTTTCCTGTGCAAAATTCCTGTGCACCCCCTGTGAAGGGGTCCGGTGACGCCCCTGTGTGTGTGTGTGTGTCTCTCTCTCTCTCTCTCTTTCTGTGTGTGTGTGTGTCTCTCTCCGTGTCTCTCTCTCTCTCTCTCTCTCTCCTTGTCTCTCCCTCCCTTCCTCCCTGTCTCTCTGTCTGTGTCTCTGTCTGTGTCTATCTCTCTCTCTCTCTCTCTCTCTCTCTCTCTCTCTCTCTCTCTCTCTCTCTCTCTCTCTCTCTCTCTCTCTCTCTCTCTCTCTCTCTCTCTCTCTCTCTCTCTCTCTCTCTCTCTCTCTCTCTCTCTCTCTCTCTCTCTCTCTCTCTCTCTCTCTCTCTCTCTCTCTCTCTCTCTCTCTCTCTCTCTCTCTCTCTCTCTCTCTCTCTCTCTCTCTCTCTCTCTCTCTCTCTCTCTCTCTCTCTCTCTCTCTCTCTCTCTCTCTCTCTCTCTCTCTCTCTCTCTCTCTCTCTCTCTCTCTCTCTCTCTCTCTCTCTCTCTGTCTCTCTCTGTCTCTCTCTCTGTCTCTCTGTCTCTGTCTCTCTCTCTCTCTCTCTCTCTCTCTCTCTCTCTCTCTCTCTCTCTCTCTCTCTCTCTCTCTCTCTCTCTCTCTCTCTCTCTCAGAAACAGGATTGATTTCATTGCTTACCGCTGTCACAATAGGGAAGAAGTAAACCAGGGAGAGTGTGAAGTAGATGATGACCAGGATTGTGAAGTTCAAGTTGCGGTACAGTGATAGGCCACGGATAAACGACAACTTTATTTTCTCGCCAAAATGTCCCAGTGTTCCGCATTCACTAGCAGCTTCAGATTGCTCAGTTTCTATAGCTCTCAACTCCGTTGTCGCTTTTCTTCCTGAACTGCATAATTCAGTGGCTGAGGTTGAGCTTGACTGACTTGCCCTTGTCTGTTTGTATCCATCTGATGGTAGCTTTCCAGGCAATATGAAGACTGTGAGCATTGTAGCTATGCTGGTGAAACCCAATACGCGATAGTACCACTGCCAGCCACCATACTGAATAGCTGACCGACCTGCCAACGCAAGAAGTACAGCGCCAATTCCACTCGAGCTAAAAGCAAGTGCCATGAGCACACGCTTGTGACTGGAGAAGACTTTATCAATGACTGTAGTTGGTAGTGCGTACAGTAGACCTCCTCCGATTCCGGATATCAAGCCGCGCGTGAAGTACAATATATACAACTCATTGGCGAATGAGCTGCCGAAGCTTCCAACGGAGAATAATAGCACACCCAGAATAGCTGATTTCCGCGCTCCAAGCACTTCGAATGTGATGCCAGTTATCCAGGCAGTGCCGACACGTATTGCGGAATAGATGGAGGCCACCCATGCTACAGATAATACACAAATAGACATAAGTACACAGAAAAGAATATTGGGATTTTGGAACAAGAACACCGCACTATTTTTTTGGTACTCACCTTCTGCTTGCAACAGTCAATGCTAATGAAAGGGTTCCAAACAGGAAAACAGGGGGGGGGGGGGGGCTACGGACTTCTAACCAACACCCGGTTTTTCCATTTTGCCTTCTCAAACAAAATGCAATGTACCCGCTAATTCACCTGCTACCAATATCATGAAGCCCGTGCTGTGGTGGATATTCCACTCTAGTCCAATGTGGATGCATTCCATGACTTAGTGCAGTTTTTTATGTGAACTCTTTTTTGTGATCACATGAAATCGTTACAGAGTTCAGCAGCTGAACCATGGTAAAAAAAAAGAGTCATCGTGTCACACCCAGATCCGTCTGCTACGCCAGGTGCCTCACATGCACGGTCACTGCTTGTTCGAAGGGGGAAATCCCCCGTACCCGGGCCTTCAGGGCTAATCCTCATGACATTGCGGGGGGGGGGGGGGGCGGCGGCGGGGGGGTCTGACTCTCCTTCATGTTAAGCTCTCAGACCTATCTTCACCCCCCTTCACTGTCGAAATCACCCGCTCACAGTATACACAGGAAAAGGTAACGTAATCCAGGGTTCTTCTAGCCAGGTCAAAATAGTACGGGGGCGGGCATGGGAAACAGTTACCCCATAACCCATTTTTTCCAAAAATGTCTTGCCATGCAAAATGACTTCGCCCCAGACAAACGTGCCTTTATGAACCCGCTAGTAGTGACTATCGACTGCATTTTCGTTGAATGACATGAAAAAACACAAAAATCGACAAATGAGTAGGGGCGGCATATTTCACAGGGGGGCGCACAAACAAAGTAGGGGGGGGGGGCGCAAACAGAGTAGGGGCGCTGCCCCCCCCCCCCACATGCCCCTTTGGCTAGAACCCTGGTAATCGCCGTCCATAAACAAGAGTATGCAACTGTGATTTATTTTGTATTCGCAGTTGGTTTTGCTGCCTTCATTACATCATGCAGCTAAAATCCGTGCATTTCGGAAAATCTAACACCACACTTTCCCTGGGGTTTGACTCCAAGGCTTGTACGTACCTGGAGGGGGATTTTATGAACCCAAAATCTGGCGATTGAGTACATACCAGAACGAAACAAGCAATACGGACTTGCTGTTTGGGAGATTGGGCGTATGATTGCAGGGCGCGATAAAGGCAGGTCGCGGGATGAATTCTACCTGCTGCACACTGGACCATTAGTGTACCCGTCCAAAAATATATGTTCAAAATGCAGCGTTTTCCTCAAAATTCACTGCAACACTTCCGGTAATCCACGATTGGGGTACTTAAATCGATTGGTCACGTCAACATCAAGACATTGGCTAGTGCATGATAGCGTGAGGTGCGAGACCAAGTCACAACCTGTGCAGGCGGCAGGCAATCACCATTTTAACCACGCACCAGGTCATACATTAATTAAACACAAATCTTGATGTCATATCCATACCGTAATTCCCTGATATTAAGTCGCACTGGATTATAGGTCACACTCTCATACTCGTTAGTTGTACTCGATTATAAGTCGCACCCCCACTTCACGTTTAAGCCATATCGTTTCAATACATTAACATAAGCAGGATGTCTCAGTCGATGGCAAGTCGCACAACACTCCCTTCTTTGCCATTGAAGTTAAACGATGCGACTGATAATTGTGGAAACACGGTACATGTAACTGCATGTATTGCAGTGACAGTCGAGTGTACATGTAACTGCATGTATTGCAGTGACAGTCGAGTGTACATGTAACTGCATGTATTGCAGTGACAGTCGAGTGTACATGTAACTGCATGTATTGCAGTGACAGTCGAGTGTTGTACATGTACAATGTACAGTACTGATCAATGAAATCCGTTGACCTGCGAACACTGGGCTGCGAAATGATACAAGGCGCAAACTTGAGCGACACAACTGGATTTCGCCGTGAGCGAGCATAAAATCAACATCATTTTCTGTATGTTGAGTGCCACAATTTTGTCGGGTTTCACTGCAGTTTGGCGCATGATAATTGCCGTATTTGTGTGCAACTTTCTTAACCCTGCATTTTCGCTTTTCCAGTCCACAATTGTTGAGAGACTCTCCCGCGATTTCCCAGGGGGATAGCCATATGCACAGTTGCCTATTCTGGGTTAGTGCCTCTTGGTGCTTGTTCCATTTCCTCACCAGTATTAGAAGCACCAGATCCAAAGCCTCCACACCCTTCATCAGCGACTATTGAAGATGAATTGGTAGTAGAAAGAAGTGTAGTGTTCGCAATTGAATCGATCTCCAATACTGTCAGAGTCGTGACAGCTGCTGCTGTGCCTGTTACTTCATCTTTACTGTTATTATGCTGCTGTTGGCCTCCTGTTTGGCACGGGTCAAGCAATAGCTCAGCATAGGAAATGCTGCTCGTTAGATCGCTGCTGAAGCTCACACAGAACAAGCAGCATAGCGACACGAACAGGAGAAATTTCCGAAAAGCCTCCTTCCATCGGCCACGTTTCAGAATTTGAGGTTCCATGTTCTTTGCTCGAACGCAGTCCTTTGGCAGATAACTTCTATCGCACAAGTCTCAGGTGCAGCACAGTGAGCAGCACAGTGAGTGCTAGCTGATTTTCAAGTGGTAAACCATATTCTTCCTCCGCGTCCACCACTGCTGCAGATTTATGGGCGCATTTGGATTCAATGAGAAACCTGTTACTGTCCGGACATGTAACAACGGTACCAAATAGACCAAACCAGCAGAAAAAAATCACCTCACTGCCTCTTTGATCGCGCCTATCTGGCCTACTGATCACATGCGACAGGATCTAGGATGCTAAGCGTATACGCGTAGCCACTTCCTTTGCCACAAAAAATATGTTGTATTGTTTTTTACAATGCAAGATATGTACGATCACGGACGTCGGTACGATCGAACGCTCGCAGGATCTAGGAGTAGGAGGAGTAGACCGAGCTTTGACGATGTGGTTGGGGGAAGACGGGCCTGTCAACCTTGCGCTTATCTTCGCGCGAGGCTAGTTGAGAATAGTATGGATCTTTTCTTGCATCTGGCCTGCCTCTACCTGGTTTCAGGGCATGCGGTGCAGAACCGGTTTTCCCCCCTGACTTACCAATGCTCAAAACCTGTACTCGGCGTGAGATCTGGCCAGGATCATCTGGTGTGCATGTCACGAACGTCCAGATCTGGCGAAGAGCTAGCCAGCTCTAACAGTCACGGAGTAATTAGTCTGCACCTCTTACTTGTATGGGTGAAGGCGGTCTGTTACCTGCCCAGGCTGGTGTCAACTAGATCGACATTAATTTTTGACACATGCCCCAGCCTGGACTAGAGTCTAGCGTCTGACTCTGTTGGTGTTCAGTTGGTGTAGACGAAGTCGATAGGAAGACAGCTGGCAGCTCTCTGACGGTGGCTGGGGGAGACCTGTTGTAGTGTTGACATAATCATTCTTTGCTTTGGCACGTTCGCACTGCTGGCAGCCTGGTACATGTATACGAGACACGGGATTAGTCTTTGAGGCTGCCGCATGGATCTATACAAAACAGCTTAGAAAGATCTACCAGACCAGTTTTCAGAACTCTCAAAACAAAAGGTAAGAACCTTCTCGAAGTCGAAGCACACAATCATTATTTCTGAACAGTGCCATGTTAGACTGTCAAGATGTTTGTAGGGGTCAGTACAATGACTGTACTGTCATTATGATATTCTGTGATCTGCGAAAACAAAAATTTTAATACAAGTTCCTTGTATGTACCATGCCATAATGTCACAACTAACCATTTCGCTACCAACTGCAGACATTCAGAGTCTGAATTATTAGAGCCACCTCGTTTCATAATTATTCCATAGTTCCACTGACTTGCGGCTTCCAAGGAACATGACTTGGTTAGAAGCTCGCAAGGACAAAAAACTGGCCATTGGCCCGCTGATAGCATCCACCGTCTTTCTGCCTTCCTCCCACACAACTATTTGCAAGACAGAAAATTCTTTCGGCTTCAAATAATACGCACTCACCATTTTTGTCCACACACACACACACACACACACACACACACACACACACACACACACACACACACACACACACACACATGCACAGCTGCCACATTCATCTATCGCTACCATTTTCACATTCATTCCTAAGCTCATACTGGTGTTCATCCTTTTGTTTGTTTTGTTTGCGGGGGGTCTGACTCTCCTTCATGTTAAGCTCTCAGACCTATCTTCACCCCCTTCACTGTCGAAATCACCCGCTCACAGTATACACAGGAAAAGGTAACGTAATCCAGTGTTCTTCTAGCCAGGTCAAAATAGTACGGGGGCGGGCATGGGAAACAGTTACCCCATAACACATTTTTTCCAAAAATATCTTGCCATGCAAAATGACTTCGCCCCAGACAAACGTGTCTTTATGAACCCGCTAGTAGTGACTATCGACTGCATTTTCGTTGAATGGCATGAAAAAACACAAAAATCGACAAATGAGTAGGGGGCGGCATATTTCACAGGGGGGGCGCACAAACAAAGTAGGGGGGGGGGGGCGCAAACAGAGTAGGGGGCGCTGCCCCCCCCCCCCCCCACATGCCCCTTTGGCTAGAACCCTGGTAATCGCCGTCCATAAACAAGAGTATGCAACTGTGATTTCTTTTGTATTTGCAGTTGGTTGCGCTGCCTTCATTACATCATGCAGCTAAAATCCGTGCATTTCGGAAAATCTAACACCACACTTTCCCTGGGGTTTGACTCCAAGGCTCATACGTACCTGGAGGGGGATTTTATGAACCCAAAATCTGGCGATTGAGTACATACCAGAACGAAACAAGCAATACGGACTTGCTGTTTGGGCGATTGGGCGTATGATTGCAGGGCGCGATAAAGGCAGGTCGCGGGATGAATTCTACCTGCTGCACACTGGACCATTGGTGTACCCGTCCAAAAATACGCAATTTTCATATGTTCAAAATGCAGCGTTTCCCTCAAAATTCACTGCAACACTTCCGGTAATCCACGATTGGGGTACTTAAATCGACTGGTCACGTCAACATCAAGACATTGGCTAGTGCATGATAGCGTGAGGTGCGAGACCAAGTCACAACCTGTGCAGGCGGCAGGGAATCACCATTTTAACCACACACCAGGTCATACATTAATTAAACACAAATCTTGATATCATATCCATACCGTAATTCCCTGATATTAAGTCGCACTGGATTATAGGTCACACTCTCATACTCGTTAGTGGTACTCGATTATAAGTCGCACCCCCACTTCACGTTTAAGCCATATCGTTTCAATACATTAACATAAGCAGGATGTCTCAGTCGATGGCAAGTCGCACAACACTCCCTTCTTTGCCATTGAAGTTAAACGATGCGACTGATAATTGTGGAAACACGGTACATGTAACTACGTGCATTGCAGTGAAATTTGAGTGTTGCACATGTACAATGTACAATACTGACCATTGAAATCCGTTGACCTGCGAACACTGGGCTGCGAAATGATGTATGGCGCAAACTTGAGCGACACAACTGGATTTCACTAAGCATAAAATCAACATCATTTTCTGTATGTTGAGTGCCACAATATTTCGGGTCTCACTGCAGTTTGGCGCATGATAATTGCCGTATTTGTGTGCAACTTTCTTAACCCTGCATTTTCGCTTTTCCAGTCCACAATTGTTGAGAGATTCTTCCGCGAATTTCCAGGGGGACAGCCATATGCACAGTTGCCTATTCTGGGTTAGTGACTCTTGGTGCTTGTTCGATTTCCTCACCAGTATTAGAAGCACCAGATCCAAAGCCTCCACACCCTTCATCAGCGACTATTGAAGATGAATTGGTAGTAGGAAGTGCAGTATTCTCAATTGAATCGATCTCCAATACTGTCAGAGTCGTGACAGCTGCTGCTGTGCCTGTTACTTCATCTTTACTGTTATTATGCTGCTGTTGGCCTCCTGTTGGGCACGGGTCAAGCAGTAGCTCAGCATAGGAAATACTGCTCGTTAGATCGCTGCTGAAGCTCACACAGAACAAGCAGCATAGCGACACGAACAGGAGAAATTTCCGAAAAGCAACCTTCCATCCACGTTTCAGAATTTCAGGTTCCATTGTTCTTTGCTCGAACGCAGTCCTTTGGCAGATAACTTCTATCGCACAAGTCTGAGGTGCAGCACACAGTGAGTGCTAGCTGATTTTCAAGTGGTAAACCATATTCTTCCTCCGCGTCCACCACTGCTGCAGATTTATGGGCGCATTTGGATTCAATGAAACCTGTTACTGTCCGGACATGTAACAACGGTACCAAAATAGACCAAACCAGCAAAAAAATCACCTCACTGCCTCTTTGATCGCGCCTATCTGGCCTACTGATCACATGCGACAGGATCTAGGATGCTAAGCGTATACGCGTAGCCAGCTTCACACTTCACAGTAACTATTGTATTCTGTAGGGGATTAATACTTCCTTTGCCACAAAAAATATATTGTATTGTTTTTTACAATGCAAGATATGTACGATCACGGACGTCGGTACGATCGAACGCTTGCAGGATCTAGGAGTAGGAGGAGTAGACCGAGCTTTGACGATGTGGTTGGGGGAAGACGGGCCTGTCAACCTTGCGCTTATCTTCGCGCGAGGCTAGTTGAGACTATGGATCTTTTCTTGCATCTGGCCTGCCTCTACCTGGTTTCAGGGCATGCGGTGCAGAACCGGTTTTCCCCCCTGACTTACCAATGCTCAAAACCTGTACTCGGCTGAGATCTGGCCAGGATCATCAGTGACCCGCGCTCTGCGAAAACCGACCTTAGGTGCTTCGTAATTTTTTCGAGAAAAAGAACAAAACGTCACGGTTTGTCGATTTTTGAAGATCACAAGGTGAGAGTCATGGCGGAACGAAGCAGAAGACAGTCGCTAGCTCAAATAATTGCTGTGGGCTTCTCCCAGAGGTTTCATCCGAACTCCTTTACGATGAATAGTAATTGTTTGGCCTGGTCCAATCGCAGTTCTGATGACAGCAGTGCCAAGGAGAGTTGGATGTGGAATCGCAGGACGCAACGCTGATCGAGCTGGACGGCCATGCGGAGGAGAATTTCGATCCGGCGTCGGTTTTGCCACCAGCCCAGCCCCTCAATGCCGGCAATAAACAGAGTGCAGACCAAGAAAAATCGGTTCAAGTACTGTCTACAATCCAGGAGGCGCGCAACAAGTTTGACAAGGGCTGTAGTTGTTCCGCACTGGTGCTGTTTCAAGAGCGTGACACTTGAAACCTTGCTTTACATTTACAGCGCACACAGCGCACGTCCTGACCAAGTCAGAGCGCTGCTTGTGTGTAGGCGGAACGCTAGACGTGCTCAGGAGACGTGGTGAGGCTACCCAGCGCGTCCAGCATGCTGGGAGATGTGATAAGATGGGGCTCAACAATACTACTCTGAACTACTGAAGACTACAGTCAGTGGCTGGTGTGGAAGTCATGTACATGCATGTCAGGAAGTCTTTGTGGCTGCCTCCAGCCCAGGATCAAGCCCTGGGTGCTGAAATCTGTGCAGGTTGCTGTCAGTGCAAGTGAAATCCGCCCAACACAGGAATTGAATGAACTCTGGAATGCACTGCCTGTGGAAGATGTTGTGGAGCTGAAGCATTTTATAGAGCATTATGCTATAGCTCATGGCCTCCCTTAACCTGCAGATCCACATGGGCACAACAAGCCAGTACCAACCTACATGTATTTGCCCAGTATCACTACGAAGAAGCTTGTTTACCAGGCGTTCACAAAGCCTGGTGGCAAAGCTGCATACAGTACGTTTGGCAAGATTTGGAAAAGAGACTGCCATGATATCACCGATTATGAAACAATGTGTGCGGCAGATGTAGACATAACTAGATGTTCTACTACCAGTACCAGATAAAACTATCAATATCCTTTAACCCGGCATTGATCCGAGCTTCTTCACTACTTTGCACCTGCCTCTACCCATCACTCTGGCTGGCATATCCTCATACAGAGCCAAATACCTCTTCCAGCAGATTCGTGAGCAACACCATCCACAGAAGAGAGAAAGAATGTGTCTATCTCCACAACAGGAAGATCCAATGCCATCATAAACCTTTCCTTTTGAAGATTATGACATACAGATTTATTCTGCAAAGTTTGGCTGCAATCATGCTGCTTGAATTCTCACAGCATTGGCTCCAAAATGTAGCATAAAATCCAGGATTTTTGCTACTTTTCCTCAAAATATTGTAGGAAAAGTGCAAAGAAATTGACATTGTATCTAACTGAATATGTATGCAATCCACCTCAAACTTCACCAGAAGTTGAGGAAAGGGTCATGGGTCAACAATCCAGCACAAACTCAATTTCGCCAAAATAGCACCTAAGGTCGGTTTTCGCAGAGCGCTGGTCATTCTGGTGTGCATGTCACGAACGTCCAGATCTGGCGAAGAGCTAGCCAGCTCTAACAGTCACGGAGTAATTAGTCTGCACCTCTTACTTGTATGGGTGAAGGCGGTCTGTTACCTGCCCAGGCTGGTGTCAACTAGATCGACATTAATTTTTGACACATGCCCCAGCCTGGACTAGAGTCTAGCGTCTGACTCTGTTGGTGTTCAGTTGGTGTAGACGAAGTCGATAGGAACACAGCTGGCAGCTCTCTGACGGTGGCTGGGGGAGACCTGTTGTAGTGTTGACATAATCATTCTTTGCTTTGGCACGTTCGCACTGCTGGCAGCCTGGTACATGTATACGAGACACGGGATTAGTCTTTGAGGCTGCCGCATGGATCTATACAAGACAGGTTAGAAAGATCTACCAGACCAGTTTTCAGAACTCTCAAAACAAAAGGTAAGAACCTTCTCGAAGTCGAAGCACACAATCATTATTTCTGAACAGTGCCATGTTAGACTGTCAAGATGTTTGTAGGGGTCAGTACAATGACTGTACTGTCATCATTATGATATTCTGTGATCTGCGAAAACAAAATACAAGTTCCTTGTATGTACCATGCCATAATGTTACAACTAACCATTTCGCTACCAACTGAAGACCTCCAGAGTCTGAATTATTAGAGCCACCTGGTTTCATAAATTGTTCCATAGTTCCACTGTCTTGCGGCTTCCAAGGAACATGACTTGGTTCGAAGCTCGCAAGGACAAAAAACTGGCCATTGGCCCGCTGATAGCATCCACCGTCTTTCTGCCTTCCTCCCACACAACTATTTGCAAGACAGAAAAATTCTTTCGGCTTCAAATAATACGCACTCACCATTTTTGTCCACACACACACACACACACACACACACACACACACACACACGCACAGCTGCCACATTCATCTATCGCTACCATTTTCACATTCATTCCTAAGCTCATACTGGTGTTCATCCTTTTGTTTGTGTAAAATATACAAATAGATCTATTCAAGGTGATTTTTCAGAAAGCCTTTCTTACGTTTTACTATGAGCTTTCTGCTAGGTGATTTTGTTTCCATGCATCATTAATTTTTTACCAGTCACTAAGATGTGCTGGTGTGTACTAAAGTAAGTCTTGTACGTGTAGATCTACATTGTACATATTATATCGGTGTGATGGTCACATTGCTGACATGTAAAATGTACATCTACTGGACAAAATACACATGCGTATACAGTGGATATGTACATACATGCACGTGCAGGCACGATATTCAGTCAGAACAATCCTTGCGTCAAGTGACCTTTTTTAGTTGCGAGCACGCTACACAGTCTTGACCATTCAACAGCTTTCAACTGAGGGGTATGTGAACGCACATGCACGCCAGAATGGCAATCTCCCTCCGTATGCAGTAATAAAACAGTTCCCAGCACTAGTACTGGCGTGCCAACAAAACTGTGTGAGTGTGTCCTCCTTTGTGCATTCAATGCCGATTGCTCCCAGCATGGGATAGGCAGTGAAAACTGAGCATTCTGAGATTGCATCTGAACTTGTAATGGGCAACGTCGCAACCCGCACAGCAATCATATTACTATTGCGTGGTCTGTGACGTTGTGCGACTGAAATGTCACTATGGTTGTCAGATGTGGCCATTGCATTACGTTAGCAACGTCCTCAAATTTAGAGCAACACCAACAACTACGAATACGGGCACAAGCCCCCCCCCCCCCCCACACGCACACAGTTACATGTACATGTACATTCTGATGCAGATTTCAGTGGAAAAGAGGTAGCGACTTGGAGTTCAGTGGATACAAAATTTAATGCCAGTGCAGGTATGAACAAAAACAGTGTTGGAAACGCTGAGAAGAACTGAAACAAAACAGTGACATTGACGGATTATAAGTTTGTAGAAAGTGAAATTGAGGTGCCAAGGAAGAGACAGCAAGGTACCGGGCAAATGCTTTTCAGTTGGCAGCTCCAGTTAGATGCCGAGATTAAATGCATTCACGAGCAATGATTTTACAGACGTTTGGCGAAATTGAACCTTGTGTTGATTGAATGCTAAATAATCAAGTAGAATTTGAAGCTGGAATAACCATGCAGTTACTGTCGTGTCTACAGCATTGGCCTCTTTACTGCTATATACTTATCTTCAGTTTCTTCAGCAAGTCGAAGATCTTTGTAAAGAACTTCTTTGCCAACATCCAGGCCGTTTCCATGATATTCTTCAAATTGATTCGGAAGCTGAGGTGTGCTTTCTGACCGCTGGCGGTAATATCAAGTTTGGCTTCCATGAAACCTTTCTTTGCCACGCCCAGCGCCATCTGGAAAGCGATCCTGTCCACGGTGAAGGAAAACGCCTTCAGTATGCCGAGGATTTGGTTGACGGCTTCCTTCGCCGCTTTGACGGCGGCCCGTGCTGCCAGCAGAGCGGGGTTGTACTTTGCAACGGCGGCAGCTGCTGCCAGATATCCCTTCTGCGCTGTATCCAGTGCCTTGTTGGCCGCGCCGAGGCTCCCCTCGGCGGTTTTCTTGGCGGCATACGCCGCACCTCGTAACGGTGCGCAAACCGCATTTTGCGCCAAGCACTTGGGATCCACGGGTAGGCACATCGAGCCACAAAAGCTCGGGTATGGCACGCAGACATCCTTGCAGCAGATCTTCCCCCATCCACACGGGTACTTGACGGCGCAGGAGCATTTCTTTTTCATGCACAGTTTCGGTACGCCACATTTCTTGCAGCTGTGAATGCTGCACAGCTTGCTGATGGCATGCTCTGCCGTGTCGACACCTGCCTTGGCCGTCTTGACGGCAGCTTCGCGTCCTTTCTTCACCTTCTCTGCAGCCTCCTTATTGGCTATCGCAGACTTAACGGCTTTCTCGATCGTGTCCAGCACCTTCTCCACTTTGTGTAGGTGCTCTTCTGCCTTCCTGCGTGCTGTTTCACAAGCCTCCTTGACTTTCCCAGCCAAGAACTTAAGACCAGTGGCCCTTACAGTTCCCTTCATCATGAAACCCTGGAATGTCTTGGGGTTGAGGGCCTTTTTGAACTGGGCACTTAGATCCAAGACAACGTCGAATATGATCAGCTTAGCATCAAAATGAAATGCTATTCCCTTGGTGGTAATGTTCCCGAGCACGTTAACGACCACTTTTAGCGCAGGGATAGTGAGCTTTGCAGTGAGGCTGACGTGGAATGCTGGCGGTACAACACCTGCCTTCAGGGAGAAGATGGCACCTTTCTTGGTGTCGTTGGATGCAGTCAGATGGACGGAATTTAGCAACGTGATGGGATTCGTCCAGACCGTGCCGAAAATGGCCGTGGGAACGCCATTGAACGCATACACTCGCACATTGATGTTGACTTTAGCAGCCCATAAGAATGTGAACTTCCCACGCAAGATAAGTCCGGCTGGTATTGGTTGTGTTGTATTACCGTGTGGGACGTCACGGAAAAGAAGACTGTAGGAAAAGAGAACATCCTCCATTTCCCAGTAACTTAAGATCTTCTCGAATGCGTCTGGTAGTTTTGGCACGCCCACTGCAGCCAGTAGTTTTGCGTAGCTGAACTGGTTGACGCTGAAGAAGCAGTAGTTCTTCTCGGGCTTCTCAGCATCGAAACCGAAGTATCCTCTTCCCATTATGCACGTTGTCTTGTTGTCGTTAATTCGGCAATGATAGCCAAGCCACAGTTCACCGCCATACTCACCGGCTGATATGCAGATGGGACAGTCGGCGTTCACACGCACACGCAGGATTATGTTGCCGAATGCCAGGAATGGTATGCCGAAGGCCTTTTGCCACATTCCCACCATCTGGAAGGACATTTCTACATTCATTGCTGGGTCCGTTGTCAGATCGCCAATAAACTTGAACTTGTTGTTCTTGTCAAAGCTTACGTCCAACTCGGCATGAGTCAGACCAAACTGCAAAGTTGTTCCAAACTCTACACCAAATCGGATATCATGAAGGTCAAATCCAGCGATTTTCAGGTGACCGCCGATCGGTGCTTCCATCTTTATGTTCGGCTCATGTCCCAAGTTTTCAATTTCCAATTTGAACTTCTTGTCGCCAAACAGCTTGTGGAAAAGTGCGCAGAGCTTATCACTGCCACATTTCGGAAGGCCGATTTCAAAGTAGAGACATAAGCCTTCTGGTATCACTTTGGTTTCCTGTTCAAACGGGTAGGTTTTGATCTTGAATGGCAGCTTCTGGTCCTTCCCTGCGTTCGAGTAGGTCAGGGCAATGTCCGCCGGTCCGGAGAAGAGATGGAAGAAGAAGAGCTTGGAGAGGTCGATGCCCGTCATGCTGTGAAATATGTCGGTGAAGGACGTGTCGTGTCTGCTGAGTATCAGTACGTAGAGTGTTGGGCTGGTTGTGAGAATGAACTCAGCATCGTACTTGCCAAACAGAGGTATTGTGGGTTGACCGGCCAGTCTGAAGGACGAAAACAAAACAAAAAACCGTCAAAAACAGTCGAAAATGTAAGCACTAAATTAAAGTTGTGCTTTGTGGCATGTAGAACTATTGCATTTGCCTGTAGAATATCTGCCTCGTCATCAACTTCAAATGTGCTCTTACTAGTCTTAGTCACCAGTGCAATCCATGAATGGCGGTGCAAAATTATTGCCAAATTCACGAATTCACTAGATAAGACACGTGGATATGAGTTATGAGTAACTGGCTGTCCACTACTGTAACAAGATATTTTTTATAAAAATTAGTTTTTTTTGCTTAGTTATCGCCAGGGAGTCGTAAAGGCCCGGGCTTTTACGACTCCCTGGTTATCACACTTTCTGACTGCTTATTATCGTGTTACAGTAGAGGACAGTTACTCATAACCTGTATCCGTGTGTCCTTTCTTTTCTTTTTTCATTTCAATATTGGCTTGATATTCAAGTTCATAAATTCATGGTTGTATTATCAGCCATGCATCGACCAGGTTGCCGTGCACGGACTGGTGTAGTGGTGGTTGTGGTGGTGGTGAGTAGAACGCCGTGCTGGAGTGTTGTTCTGCAGCTTAGAGAGCTTGTGTGGCCCTCTATCTATAATCAGCTTGGCAAGGAAATGGTGCTGGAACAATAGAGAGGTTTATCACAACGAAATTTTGTGGAACTTTTTGTTGTTCTCTCGAGCTGGGTACGAGTAACGAAACTTGCAACGGAAAGTGGTACGAAGTTCCCGTAAAAATTCCCAAAAAACCAAAACAACTTTTCGTTGATTTTTTGATTTGAGTTGGGTTTTTTCCTACTCGGTACTCCGATTCGATCACCATTGTGTGTTTTCAACTCCTCCAGAGTTCGCCGCGACTTCCCAAGCTGTGATTTTGTCTGCATTGTGTCGAGAAGTTTTGGCTCCTTGCTTTGGCTTTGCTTTGGTTTCGTGCTTTAATTTTCCTTTCGTTTCGGTGAGTGCATTCAAGGGTGTGTCCGTGCACGGAGCCCAGTGATCATGGACAGAACCTGAACGCCACTCACGCTCCACATCGACAAAACCCTAAGAAGAAGATCTCGTTGGATTCACAGATAGAGGATTTTTTATTTATTTATTTATTTCTGCACCTCGTGGCATGTCAAGACAGCCAATTGAATTGAGGAGAGGGTGAGACCAACCACGGAAGAAGAGAAAAAAAGAAAATTAAGAGCACGTACACAAAGTGGGAAGGGATTAGCAAATTACAAAGCAATGGGATGCTCAGCGAGCTATGCAGCAGAAGTGGTGACTGTGACTTTGTTTACTGGGAGATACTGAAGTGCTGTCTGACGAGGGTACGGAATTTGGGCATATCTGGAGCTTGTCTAACACTGGGAGGCAGTTGGAGCCACGTGGAGTAGGAGGAAAAGAAAGGGGAATTTACGAATAGGGTAGACCTAGCTAGGGGGAGACGAACGCAGCTTCGGGTGGTGCCACCTGAATTGAACCAATTAAGGGACTGTAAATGAGCAGGGTGCTGGTCAAGGAAAATTGAATGCGCCAGGGTGCACTTGGAAGCATCAAGGTAATGTTGCAGAGTGGTAGTGGATGCAGCAGCATACAAGTCTAGATTTGAGATATAACGATCAGTACGGAATATGATTCGCAGTATACGGCGATGGAGAACTTCTAATTTACCTATGTGGGTTTTGTTAATGGTGGACCAGGCAGGGAAGCCGTACGTGAAGAGGGGAAGAATGTATGATTTATAAAAATTAATCCGGCAATTTTTGGGCAAATGGGACAAGTGACTTGACATTATGCCGACAGATCGGCATACTTTGGACGACACATGATCAGCATGGTGAGACCAGGAGAGGGCGGAATCTATGACAATGCCAAGGTGTTTATGGTGGGGCGCTACAGAGATAGGGTGACCGGGATCATCGGGAAAGTGGAAGATGGGCACTGGATCTGTGGGAGGGGGAAACAGGAGGAGCTCGGTTTTGGTCACATTTGGCTTAAGGTACCAAGTGCTCATCCAGTGAACAATGTCGTTGATACAGGTCTGAACTTTGGGGTACAGGTTGGCGTGAGATGGGGAGGAAGCAAGGACAGTGGTATCATCTGCAAACAAAGAAATATTGGGAATTGAATAGGGGAGGTCATTAACGTATGTGAGGAAGAGCAGGGGACCTAAAATGGAGCCCTGGGGCACTCCGGATGTCACAGACTCGGGGTCAGATAAGGTTCCATTTACTGTGACGCACTGATTTCGGTCCAATAGGTAGCTAGTTATCCAGGCGAGTAGGGAGCCGGAGACACCATGGGCACGAAGTTTGGCGATCAGGCCCTTGTGCCACACGGTGTCGAAGGCCTTGGAGAGGTCGAAGAAACAGATGCAGGAGACCTGCCGCTGGTCTTTTAGGGAGCAGAGGTCTTGGATTATGCGGGATAATTGCAGGGATGTGTTGTCCTTACGACGGAAGCCAGATTGTGCGGGGTGAAGAAGAGGGGAGATATGGTCGTACAAGCGGTCGTACACTATTCTCTCTAGCAGTTTGGAGACGCAGGACAGGAGGGAGATTGGTCGGTAATTAGACGGGTTGTTCTTGTCGCCTTTATTTTTGTACACTGGAATGACAGTGGCTGACTTCCATCGTGACGGGAATGTGCCGGAGGAGAGGGAAAGGTTAAAAAGAATGGAGAGTGGGCGGGCAATTGAGTAGCTCAGTTTCCTGAGGATCTCATTGGTGATCCTATCAGCTCCGGGGGATTTGTTCAGAGGCAGTCTTGCAATATACTTGTGAACAGTCGATGAGGTGATGATCAGGGAGTGCAATGTAGTTGCTGGTGGAGGTAGGGAGGAAATAGTGGGAATAGGAGCATCGGGGTCAACCTGTAAGCCAGCACTAACGAAGTGGCGGTTCAATAAGTTACCAGTGGATGCCAGAGGTGCTTGTTCGACCATTGGGGTCCCACCATCTTCGAAGGTATAACCGGGCGCTGGTAGGATTTCGCAGTTGACGAATGAGCACAGGGAGGGATGGGAGGCGAGGGTTTGTGGGAGATATCGTGGCACGGAGGTTGCGGATGTAGCAGCGATGGCAGGATCTGGAAAGGCATTTTACATAGTTACGTTGGTGTTTGTATTTGTTGAAATTTGTAGGGGATGGGTATTTCCGGTAGATGCTGTAGAGATCGCTCTTGATTTTAATAGCTGCTTTCAGTGATGGAGTCATCCAGGGGCAGGGTTTGTGGCGTGATTTCCGACGAGGAGGTGAGGATCTTCCTATATATAGGTCCAAGGCACCTTCAAGGATGTCAGTGAATGCGGAGACAGCCGTGTCGATGCAGTGGGAGGCAAGGACCTGAGACCAGGGTACAGCTGCGAGAAAAACATTCATGGCATTCCACATGTTATCCGTGGCACTCAGGACATTGTATTTTTGTGTAGATGGTGGGCTACGGCAGGTGCTGGCTGCTGTGGGGGAAGACTTTGAGGAGGAGAACTCAGCCAGCAGGACGGCATGGTCTGATGCGCCAAGAGGAGCCAGGTGTTGAATGTGGTTGAGTTGGTTAGGGATGTTGCTCGCGATAAGGTCTAGACAGCTGCCAAGTCCATTCGAGCGGAGGTGGGTGGGAAAGGTTACCGATTGGGTCAAATTATAGCATGAGAAGAGGTTGTCAAGACTCAGACCCTGTGCATCCGTTTGGTCAGTTGAGCACCAGCCGGAATACCTACAGTTGAAGTCGCCTAATATCACAAGGGCTTCGGGCTTCCTTTGAGTTGATTGCAGGGCTATTTGGAGGCGGTCGAGAAAAGTCGAGAAGTCATCCGTCGACGGGGAAGGAGCACGGTAGATACAGGCTACTGTTAGGTGGGTTGTTGGCAGGTCAGAAGGTGAGACAAGCTTATGTTCAGCGAGTGTAAGCCGAAGTGCTAGCGCTTCCAAGCCCGGTTGCTGAAAATCCGGTAGCTGATCAATGGAAGTGCACAGACCTTCACGAACTAGGATCTTGTCGTTTTGCGTCCAGTAAGGAGCGTGGGAAATACATTGTTCCTGCGGCATCTAATGTTAACATGTTTCTCCGAGGATGTCGTGCAGCTGCTTTCTTCCCAGGACTCGAGATTTGATGGTCTGAAGAGGAAAGGCGTCGCACATCATCTAGAACCAGGTGTCGGAGGACAACGCAAAGTGAAGGAAGTCCGCCAGCGATGAGGAAGATACAGAGATACATGTAGATGCTTCGCTGACAGAGCTCACCTGTTTCAAGTGTTTGAGGAACGAAAAGCAGCCCGCTGCGACAAAAAGCCAACATGTGGCTGAAGAGAATAGGAAAGCCGCCACTTTGAGAAGAGACGCCTCAAAACCCCTCTAACAGAGGAGAGCCTTTTCCTAGAAAATGCTAGCGCCAGATGCAGAACATGCACCGAAGAAGAAGCTTCTTGATTTTTAGAAACTGCCGCCTAGCGGCTCACGATCGCCATAGTGTCCATGGGAACAGTGAACAGCCCAGCAACTCTGCAGATCTGCTTGCTGAACACAAAACAAACGAAATTTCGTTGGCAATTTTTCGTTATGATCGCAACGAAAATTAACTAATGAAAATTCGTTGCGCTAAACCTCTCTAATGCTATGTGCAAACTAAGTTATGGTTGCTGATGGACTTGGCTAAATTTGTTTTTTCATTGAGAGCAAGTACATGTATGATGATCCTGGCATATATGCCGGCATGGTCGGCACGTAATCTTCATGTTGCCTGATGATTGCGAGAGCATGAAACTTGAAGTAGCAGCAAACAAGCCTTGATTGTCCTTGTTGTTCTGTTCTGTATGATGATTTGAAAGATTTAAAGATTGCTTGTGAGCTGGATTGTCATCATTTTAAGAGCATGCTGACCACCCGTACACATCTACACATGGAGCTACAGAGAGTGACGACGCTCATCGTGCTTCCCTATTACTTACCAGAGTTCTCGCCAGGCACACATAGTAGGGGGAGGGGGCAGGCGAAAGTGTCTTGCCATACCAAATGCAATGTTCTGGGGCGAACTCCCGACTTCACCCCTCACAAATGTGCCGTTGTGAACCCTCTAGCAGTGACTAGAGACTGCATTTTCGTTGAATGGCATGAAAAGACGCAAAAATCGACAACTGATGAGTAGGGGGCACTTAATCAGAGTAGGGGGGGGGGGGTGCCTCCCTACCCCTTTGGCTAGAAGTTACCTAGAACCTTGCTTACTGTGTGGCGAGGCCATCGGGAGATTTGATCAATTCCGCCGACGGCTTCTTGATAGCGAATCTGTCGAGCTGAAGCTTCTTGACGAACTTGTTCTGTCCGATCTTCTTAGATATTGCATTGGTTAAATCAATCAACTTGAGAGTCTTTTCTGTCTCCAGTTTGAACAAAAGTTCTGAGTGTTTGGTAGAATATTTGACTTCGGCCTGGAAAGGTATCTTGAAGAGGACCATTTCGCCAATAAGTGCCATGCTGAATTGATGGTTTTTGATCAATGAAGCATTGTATTCTGCTTTAGTGAGCTTGATTTTGCCTTTGAAGAAAGAGAGTGACTGGGGGATCTTCCCAATGATGGTACTGCGAGACTGCTTCGCATCATACAGCACATACTTGACTTGCAACCTAAAGATGAACCCAAATAGTCGATCAAACGTTTTGTAGGTGGAATCCTGGGTAACTGAAGGCACCATATACGCCAGGATTTGATGAAGGGAAACGCCTTCCGGTAAATGGACATCCACCATCTTCAAACTGACACCCATTGCCATCAAGACGGTCCGTCCACCCATATCAGCATTGTAAATAAAGTGAGCACCGCGCTCGATCTTCTTCATACCACTATAGATCTTATTATCACTGTACAGCTTCAGTTCATCGCCAATCCTCATAGATTTGCTGGAGATCCAGACAGCCATTTCGGGAAGTTGTAGTGATCCCATTCTAGGCAACTGTGAAATGTCAACAGTTGAGAGTGACTTCACTAGTGTGGACAGATTTCCTTTCTTGATTGCAAATCCCAGGAAGAACGCCGAATTACCCATTTTTCCGATGTCGAGGACAGTAACCTGTGTCTCTGCTGCTTCAAAATGAGTCATGGTTGGAGAACCAAACAAGCTGATGGAACTCTTCGTCCCGTTCCATATGACATCAAGACCGGCTTTCTTGATTGTAAAGTCAGCTATGCCCATTTGCTTGAAGATGTGCCCAAGCTTCGGAATTGAAGCCAACATCTTTCCAACGCGTAGGTCCGGTATCCTACCAGTTAGTTGGTAGTGTGGTCCTACCTTTGAGAAACTGGCAGAGAATTCCACAACTTTAGCCACCTGCGCTGAGGCGCTGAAGTTGAAGTTGAAAGTCTTGTTGATGTACTCCAAGTCAGCTTTGACATTGCTTAACGTTACATAATTCTTGATCATCGATATGCTTCCGGGTATAGCGAACTTGGCCAGGAACTGCTTCTTGGCAAAGTCCACTAAGAATCGGTTCACGAAGACTTTCTGCAGTGCCGGCATAAAATCGGGTAAGTGGAGTGATTGCATGATTGACTTTGAAAAGAACTTTTCAATCAGGTCAGCTATAGACAATGTGTTTGGCGTTGGCTGCAGAGGATGTGACAAACCAGAAGCGTAGAATACATTGAGTCCCAACACACACCGTAGAAGACACCAAAAAGAGGAAAAGAACACAGTTTATCAGGTTTAGGGTAGGTGCTCCCAGACATCTGCTCAGCACAGACTCACTATTATGTCCAATTCCATCTTACCGAATTCATTTAAATGGGCTTTCAATTACACTCCATGCAGTTCAGATAGCCTGAACTTAGAGTGTTGAAGTGTGAAGTGTATTTTACAGCACTGCTTAATACATCTCCAGTTCACTCACATTGAAGTCAATCCTACGTGATGACAGGGCAGAAGAGATATCCAGTGCAGTTTGAAGATGTGGAAATTTGATGCTCAACATTCCTGCTATGCTGTTGGAAAGTGCCTTCACCAGCCTTGGTGATCTCTTTCGACGACGCCGGCGGCGATCGAACCAACCCAACGCCAGGGGTTTTCTGCTCGCTTGCTGTTGTCCTGTCTTTAGTGCTGGACTTGTAGGAGCAGGTCGTTGCAGCTTGTGCTGAGGTGTGGTCTGAGATGGAGGAGGTTGTTGAGGCTTGGGTTGAGGTTTGATCTGAGGTGGAGGAGGTTGTTGAGGCTTGTGTGGAGGTTTGATCTGAGGTGGAGGAGTTTGTTGAGGCTCGGGTTGAGGTTTGATCTGAGGCGTTGCTGTCACTGTGCCGGCATGCAAAGCACTGGGCGTCAACATGACATTGTGCAGATTGGTAACCATGGTATGGGATGGAGTCATTGGAACTTTGGGCTGTTGAGTTCCACTGTTGTTGACTTTAGAAATTGGTTGAATTCGTCCAGCAATCCCCAGCAATGTGTTGAGTTTCACATCAACAAACCTCAGCTTGTCCAGACTTCGATTCATGGTCGGCAGCGCAAGCAATCTTACCTCATCTAACACTACATTCCCTATGGACGGGAAAGCCGAGAAGCCAGCCATTTTGAAAAGGTATGCGACGATCTGAGATAGGTTTATCTCTGGTACAACAAGTCCCATCGTCATCACGCGTGTGGCTTTGTTGAATGCATTCTTAGCAATCAGTTCCAGTGTTACGCCTTTCACAGTACCAAGCTGGATGTGGCCAAGAAAGGCCAATTCGGATGGGTTGGTCTTCATGTCAATAGTTGTGTTGTACATGGTGATGTTGAGCAAGTTGAACTTGGCCAGAAAACGCAAGAAACTGCTGTCTGCTAGCTTCCCATGCGACAGCAGATCATAAAGAGATATTGACTTCAGAGTTGTGTGAAAGTGTGCTGTTTTCCCTGCCATCTCAAGTGCAAAATCAACGTTACTCGATAGGAATGTGCCCTGACAGCCAGCCTTGAATGAATAGTTTGTCGGTTTCCGGGAGTAGTCGACCTTCAGATCAAGTATGATATGCTTGCAGGTGAGGATATTCTTTGGCAGCTTGAAGCTTCCAACGTGCACAGCAAAACTGGCTTTCTTTCGCTGAGAGTCAAAGTAGATGCGAGACACCGTCATCTTGTCAATCTGTGGGAAACCGTTTGGAAGTCGCACTGATGCGGCAGTGAACGAAGGGAAAAACATCCGAATGACCGTCAGCAGAGATAACTCCTTCACAGATACCAATAGGTTTCCACCGACAAAGCTAAGCAGGATCTCGGTCTGGTGTCCTTGGTCGCTAAAGTTCATGCTGAACGTGAAGCCTTGCTGGAACTTCGTCTGATTGAGATATGCTCCACAGGCATGTAGTCTACCTGTCGATAGGGACATGTCGCTTGTAGCCACGTACACCAATAGTTTCCCAACTGACAGCTTTCCAACAAGTGGCACTGAGCTTACATCTTGGCCAGTAAAGCTCTTGGCGAGTGATGCAACGTTTGTCTGGCCAAGGCAGAACGCGAAGAACAGCTTTGTAGCATTCTGTTTCCAGACCAAGGCTGTCATATTTGCACTGCCGACATTGGGAATGGTTGCCCTACCATCTATGGACAGCTTCTCGAACTTCATGGATGACGTCATCTGAACACTGCACTGGAAGTCACTGATGACCAAGTCACTCAGGTGGAGAGCGGACAGCGTTTGCGCGGCGGATGACTTTGCAAACAGGTCACCGATCTTGATAGGTTTAACGCTGGATATCGACCCTGCCAGCATTGACCCAAACTTGGATACATTCAATCGCAGGTGTAGAGAGTCCATCAGCATGGCATCAGCTGCAAAGGAGAAGTTGAAGATTTTGCCGATATAAGAGAGCCGGATGTCGATGTTGGATATTGAAATAACATTCTTCGCTATCGTGATGCTCTTCTGAAGCTTGGCGTGCACGGCAAATTCACGACTCTTCCATTTGAGCAGAAAGCGCATTACGTATAGCTTGTCGAGGGACCCAAACATAGACGGTAGTCTTGTCATCAATTTACCACTGGGCAGAATTTTTGATAGTAAATCAGTAACTGAGAGAGTTGCATTGCCCGTCTGTAGAGGAATAATGACAACAATGCGACAAAAAACTCCATGATTGAAGTACTGTATAGAATTAAAAGGAAATTTTGGACAGAATTTATTTTCGTACGATTTCGTACACGGCCTCTTTTGTACTAAAATAAATTCCGTACTAACATCTGTTCATGTGAAATTATGCACACCATACATGTGTACTGCATGCGAACAGGTGCATTTAGCATGCAGCACTGTACGAAAATGAAATCCGTACGAAAGGTCGAAATTCGGCTTTGTCCGAAAATATTCCCGTCCGAAAATGTCCTGCTATAGTACATGTATGTACGTACATTTGTGCGTATGTGTGTGCGTATGTGTGTGCGTATGTGTGTGCGTATGTGTGTGCGTATGTGTGTGCGTATGTGTGTGCGTATGTGTGTGCGTATGTGTGTGCGTATGTGTGTGCGTATGTGTGTGCGTATGTGTGTGCGTATGTGTGTGCGTATGTGTGTGCGTATGTGTGTGCGTATGTGTGTGCGTATGTGTGTGCGTATGTGTGTGCGTATGTGTGTGCGTATGTGTGTGCGTATGTGTGTGCGTATGTGTGTGCGTATGTGTGTGCGTATGGTGCAAGCCTACATGCAACCCCAGAGAATCCCAGGGGGGGGGGGAGGGCAATGCTAAAACAAAGTGTTTGTCGTTTGCAAGAAGACTATCGCTGGTGAAGCAATATATTTTCGTGATAATCACGCCACACTAAATTGGCCTGGATGGTCAGGTGATCATTTCTCACAGGTGCAGTGGTATGTTGTATTCTGAGATATCCAGGTTTTGGGACAAACACTCTCAATAACAGATGATACATTCGTTGGAACTTAGAACTTGGAAGCTCTCCACTGATCATGTAAATAACATTCAATTCGATTGCAGTCCTGCACCACTTTACAAAACAGCGTAATAACGTAGTACTAGCCTATACTATACTCGCATCCGTTGGTCAATCAATTGTCACATGCTCAAACTAGCCAACTTTCACTAACAATGCCGAAGACAAACAAAACAAATCGACCCGGATCTTGGTGCAGTTGGTGGATGTTGTGTACTCACATTGAAGTCGATCTGCAGGCCACACATTGCTGTTGGGAAATCATACAGGCCGATCTTTGGGAAGTGCATGGGGATGGACGCCAGCAGAGAGCGAAGGCTTGGTTTTGCCATTTCTGCCAATCTGGTTAGGCCAGTGTCGAATAGCTCCAACCCACTGAGATTCAGTCGCTTAGGCATCAACAGGAGCTTGAGTCTGGGCAATTTCCAATCGCCAAAGAATGGTATGCCGGAGATATCAATTTTCAGGAATGCTTTCACCAGTGTGCTGAAACTGACAGACCTACTCATCTCCATTCCGAATACATACACAGCCTTGCTGGTGAACAGTGACGTGCCGTATATATTGCAGCTAATACTCGGCAGTCCGCCAATCGACAACGATCCATCAGCCCCTATTGTCAATGGCTTTGTAAGAAGCTTGATGGTCGGGCGCTTGATTTCCAAGCTAAACATTTGAAAACGTTTCAGAAGAGATGTGAGATGTTGTACACCAGGAATCTGCCCCACCAGACTGGAGATTCCCAGCTTTTGCAGGTTGAACTTGAACTGAAATGACTGATCAAATTTGGTAACAAAAGCCTTACCAGGCATTTTGAAGAATGAGCCAACACACGTAGCATTGAAATTCCATGAGTATGGCTTAGACTTGTAGCCGAGGGAGATAGAGAGTAAAGTAACCCGGCTGATGGCTGCCTTGGACCGTGGCCATATGCCTTTCAACAGGTTCAGAGCACCAATGTTGGCAGTGAAACTTGCGAGCTTTGCCTTCGAGTCGATCGCAAAGCGCTGGATGGATGCTTTCAGAAATCCGCCTAGAGACGACGGAAGTCGCACAGATGAAATGTTGAATGTCGGAAAGAACGTGTTCACGAGCAACTCCAACGACAACGGCATGTTCCTGAATTTGATCTTCTTGAATGGCTCAAGAGAAAAGCCACCCGCAAAGAAATGCCCGATCAAGGTTGTGTTGGCCGAGGATTTTTCGCCACGTTTGAGCTTTAGCATCAGCTGGGTAATGAAGCTTATTCCGGGACTGCTTGGCAAGAGATTCATCAATGACATGTTCGGATAATTGAACTCCAGTAACTTCACATCAGGAAAGTTTAAGGGCAGACCACTCGTCATGGAAAACTCAAACTCAGGCAGTTGCAGTTGACCAATTCCTTTGATTGATTTCAGAGATTTCAGTGACGGCACAAAGATGCTCAGTATGTCGACAAAGCTCATTTTTGGAATCTATTGCAGAAGAAGAGTGAATTTGCAGACAGTGAAATTTTTTTAGAGACTGACTTCATAATAATTATCTGGCTCATAATTGGAGAACCCATGAGGGTTCTCCAATTATGATCTGTCTTAGCGGTCAGAGATGGAATTGGTCAAAATCACGATTTTATCTTCAAATTGGCACTGTAATCAACCAAAATAGCATACAATAATACCAGTCTCTTGTGTTCTGTGTTCCACCAGAACTCAACACATTCTTGTATCCATGGAGGTAAAGCAGAGTACTATTCTGCGTATTGCAGGTAAGTTGCAGGCACGTAGCACCACTGTTGGAGGTGGTCCGACCGGAGAGGGATTAGGGGGGGGGGGGGGGGTGGGGGGGGGGGGTCTCCTGCGGGAATATTTTGAAATAAGGGTGCGAAATCCTGCATTCGGAGCACTTTTGACATTGTGTTAAAAAAGTGGTCTGGCTTTGGCGGCCGCACCGGCTGCTACGCCCCTGGTAAGTAAACAAGCTGCATGACTTACCCCGAGCTTGAGAGCGCGAAATGACTGCTTCATTGCGCCAATATTGCCGAGGGCTAGCTCCATGCCTGTGCTCAGGCTAAGTGTTGGGATGGTTGGACGGCCTAGGAACGAGAATGAGACCTTCCCGGCTTTGAGGATGACGGTTGCATTGATGTTCTTGATGTCGAACTTCGAGAAGATCTTATCCAGCTTTATAGCGGAGCTGATGCGAGATATTGTGCCACTGCTCTCGAACAGCACCTTAGCAAAGTTTGCCATGCTAGAGATTTCAATGTGGAAGATAGCAAGCAGAGGTGACTGGCGGCCATACACTAAGTCCAGGGACACATAGTCCACCGACATGTCCATGAAGCCATTCGACCTCAGCAGCTTGCTGACTTTCTCTCCCAGCACTGGCGTGAGAAGTTCGAAAACCTTCAGCTGCCTGGCGTGCAGGTGCAGCACCGCCGTGGACGTGCCGTTGATTGCAAGAGAGATGCTCCCCTGCAGAGTTGCCGACGGTAGGACCAGGGACGTAGACATTGAAGTTTTCACTTGTCGCACAAACATGTCCGTCACAATGTAGAGATCGATGCACAGTGTGAGATTGGTCAACTGTAGCTTCGACACGGTAAACTTTGCTTCGTATTTCTTAGGCACATTAGCGCATAGCTGCACAGTACAAAAAAAGAATAGAGATAAATATATTCATGGCTGGCTATAGTCGCAAATTTACTTGGATATCATGATCATGATAGTTACACATTGGAGTATCCTTACTTTAAGGTAAATTTCACTGTTTTGACATTGATGCAGACGCTTTTGCAAGCCATGTGTACTCTAGCCATGCGAACAGGTTGGCAGCGGTAAGAATATACAGTCAACTTTGCATATAACGACACTCGGCGGGGCATCAGAAAAGTGTCCTTATTCGCGAAGTGTCCTTATACCCGAAGTCCCATCATAACTATGCCAACTTGAAGTTGACTGTAGCCCAAACTCTATCATGGCAGCAAGCACAAGTATGACAAATGCACCCATAATGCAGCGATGAGATGGAATCACTCCTAGTGCAGTGTACCACCTGTGAAATTGGTGTCTTACACTTCAGCACCTACCAGAACCTTTCTTCTCCTTGTGCTTTCATCCTTACCTGGACTCCAGTCTCCGTGTGCTCAGCTCTGGACACTTTCAGGTCCATGTTGGCCAAGGATACGTGATTGGGAAGCTAGTGCAATAGATAAGAAAGCAAAACGCCACAACAGCAGCACCACCATAAGTCTAACGAGTAAAGCATTCAAAACCTTGTGTGCCCGATCTTGAAATTTGACCTACCAAAATGTTTACGTCTGGAGACAATGCAGAAACAGCTTTGGATGTGATGTTCCTCGTTTTAAATGTCGTCATGATGTCAAACATTACCTTTATGCTGTCGATGTTGAATGATGGAACCAACAGACGCAGTTCGTTGATAAGTGACCTCCGAGTGGCCTGGGCGAGTGCTCGCATGTTCACTTTCGTTGGGTGGATTGCCTCCAGTGCGGACTTCGTCAGAGAAGGCTGGTTGTCCTGGAGGACAGCGTCGTCCACTGCATCTCGCTTACTGAGCTCCATGGCAAACAATGCCGTGGACTCGACGTCAGGCTTTTGATATCGGCCACTAGCCGATGGATAGATCTCCCTTGCATTGGTTACAGGTGGCATGTCGAAGTCAAACAGATCAAAGACAATTTCCTGCCGTCTGGCCATGTCGATGACTCTACTTGCCAGCTTCTCCAGCTGAAACGTGCGACTTTTGAAGGCAACCTCCTTTTCCACAAGTAGAATATTGATTCGGTCCTTTCCAATGTCGACGTCTTTGATTTCCTGATCAGAGATGTGGAGATGTTGTGTAAGGGAGAGGCAGAA